GGGTCAAGACGGAGAGGGCCGCGAAGCGTTCAAGCATCCATGTTTGCCCAAGTTGGGTACAAGATGGCCTCAGATAGCCCAAGGCGGCCTCAAAATTGGCACAGCATCACGAGATAGCATACCGCATGCCTCCAAGAACCCCCAAGACAGCCTCAAGACGGCTTCAAGAGGCCAAGGAGCCTCACACAAGGATACCCCCAAGAGGCCAACATCTTCTAAACAAAAAAGCGCAACTTTACCATGGTTGTTGCCTTCTCGCCATTTCGCTTCAAATGGGCCTCCGAGGCAGGGACCCAGAAGGGCTCCAGGACGGTCCCACAGGCCTCCAAGAGCGCCCCCAGAGCCTCCAATGAGGGTCCCAGAAGACTATGTGTCAGGCTCCGAGGGAGGGGGGGGGGGGGAGGGGAATTTGGGACCTCCCCTTCCGTTGAGCGATGTACTCCAAGATAGGCCCACGAGGACCCGAAAGGCCCGCAGAAGGGCGTCAAGAGGGCCCAAGAGGGCTCCAAGAGGGCCCTGAGGGCCTCCAAGGTAGCCCCGAGAGAGCACCAAGATGGCGCAAACAGGCTTCCAAAAGGCTCCCAGACCGAAAGATACGCGAAGGTAGATCTGGTTGACTTCTAGGTCTGCTCAGGCTGATCACGAGCTTCAAAATTACATTTAACCCCTGGGCAATTCGCCTGGACATCGTGCCTGAATGGGCTGGTGAGCGAAACGTCCACCATTCACCCCATGGAAAAAGGATTTCGCATTCTGAAACTGATGTTGAAGCATATGGGAAAGCTGCGCGGCCGCATTGCTATCTTGATTTTGTCAGTGCAGTTCTTTTAGCTCGGACTGCGCGGCAGTCAAAACTGCGGGTGCGTCCCAGGGCCCTAGGACTAGGGCCAAAACAGCGGCGGGCAGCGTGCATGCCACAAAACAAGACAAGCGTGTACATCATGCACACACGGTGGCACGGGCGGCAGAGGGGCAGGGGAGTGCACTCTTCACACTGGGTGAGTACAATGCTGCCCCGATGCCGCTCCCTTCGAAAGGGAAACGCTGCACGCAATTATAATGTATATCAGCCCACAGGCCGAAACACCTCAAGCAAATGCGGCCTGAGGCTCAAAATATGAATATAAAATATGAATGTCTAGATTCACTAATCCAGACTGACAACTCAAAAGATATGCATACATCACCGTAGCCCTCACTAGGTCCATCAGCGGCTGCAATCAGGACCTCACGGGCTCGCAGGCCCTGGAACGGCGACCCGACGCTGGGCCTTCCGCTCCTTGGCTCTCTCACGCTGTCCGCGGCGCAGCCGCAGACGGTGTGCCTCCTCATCCTCTTGCTCGGCAGTAGGCGCCATGCTGAACAGTCCGTGGCGGAGGAACTGCGATAGCACCTCGTTAGGCTGCACGGCCTTTGTCAGCACGTCCGCTAGCATGTGGCTATTGGGCAGCCACTTGAACTTGATGGCCTCCTGCTCTATCAAATCCTTGGCCACCAACAAGTCAATGAGGGTCTGCCGAGACACCGGCATCGAGCCGATCTTGGACGTGTGGTCGCAGAGCGACTTCGCGTCCGTCACCGGCGCCCCCGGAACCTTCAGCGCCAGCCTCCAGTCCCCTTGCAAGGGCGGCTCCCCGTGCAAGATTGCCTCAATCAGCAGCCTGAGGTAAAGCTGCCGATCCAAAGCCACGGACATAGCCGCAGACTCTGCGGCCATCGTAGATCCAACAACTCGTGTAATAGTACTGCTCTGGAACTCCACTAGACAACACACCGCTAGCTCCTTCAACACTCGGGTATCCGTAATCATACTCATGAACCCCATCTGGCTCTTACAGCCGGGTTCCTTCGCAAACGAAGCGTCCATAAGCGTGAGCACCTGCAAGCGCTCGATGTCCACGCGGCGGATCCGGAGAATCGCAAGACCTCTCTTGTCGTAGTCCTGGAGCCGGTCGATGATGTCATTAAGCACTCGCAGGTGCAGTAACCTCCGACCTTTCGGATCCTTCTGTGCGAGCGCCGAGACACTATACGCGAGCTGGGGCACCACGCGTGCGACAGGCCACCGCGCCTTCTGGAGCAGGCTCCGGAAGTCGTGGTGCTCCTCGGGAGTCATCTCCCGCTCCTCGTCGTCACCCCTTACAAGGGGGTACTTTGTCAGCTTGCCGATGTATTCGTGCATGCTGATCTCGATGTGATCGGGGTGGCGCCACCACTCCTCACCGAGATAGGCGACTGCCTCCTTGTCGTTGCCCTCCTTCCAGTGCTTGATGTTGAAACGACTGTTGATGTTCGCCTTCACCTCCTGGTACTGGGGGTCATGCGGGCCTCCAAACAGCATGCCGTCGTCGACGTGCAAGGTCAACATAGCAATCAACTTATCGTTTCCCCGATAAACGAAGACAGCTCGAGCACAGCGCAGCTCCACGAAGCCGACCTCGTCCGTCAGCACCTGGCGGGCTCGGAGATACCACAACCGAGGCGCTTCCGTCAAACCGTACGCCCCTTTCAGCAAACGAAGCAACGCATAAGGTCGCACGGCTGGCCATCCAGCACCGTCGACGGCTGGAAGCCCGTCCTTAGGAGCCCTCACATACAGCTCCCGTTCCAGCTTCAGCCCGGACAGGAACGCAGTCGCTACGTCGAAGCACTCGAACGTCCAATCCATCGCCATTGTGATAGACACACACACCAGCACAGCCAAAGGGGAAGTAGTAGGCGAATCCGTCCTGAATAGACCAAGCTGCGGGTCGAGATGGCCAGGGATGATCAAGCGCGACTTCGCCTCCAACTCCAGTCCTCGCCCCCGGTTCGTGCGAACCGAACGCATGGGCACCGAGATGATCTTGTCCTTTGGGATGCTCTTCTCCTCCTCCTCGGTGACCAGCTCGACCGTGTTGTTGGCGATCCATTGCCGCCACTCGGCGGCATCGGCCTCGTCGAACTTAGCCTTCTCGTGCTGGTTGAAGTGACGTGGGTCTAGCTCCTTCGCGTTCTGCTTCATCACGAGTGCGAACACGTCGTGCTCGTACCGGGCCTCCTGCAGCCATGCGTCATACACAGATGACACGTTGATCCATTCCTCGTAAGTCATCGGCTGCCGTACAAGACCCTCCGGAGTGTCCAAATAGCACACCCCTTGTGCCTGAGCGTCCGGCTTGTCGTGGTAGAAAAGCGTGAGACCAACCCAGCTGTCCTCCGTGCGCTCGTTGGTACGGCTCGCGCCGTCGTCCTTGTAGGCACACTGGCCCGTGGCGGAGAGCATCACCGACAGGCGATTGCACTCCCGGTGGCGGTCGTGATCATAGAGTCTCCGCCGTGGCTCTCGATGTACACGTACTCCTCGTACGACCTTCTGAACGAGCGTGGAGACACCATCCAAGGCATTCTGGTCGAACCACTCCTGGGGTCCCGAGTGCACAACGGCGTTCATGGCCACCTCGCGGAGGGCCGGCAAGCCACTCGTAGGGGCAGCCTGCAGACGTGTCTTCTTAATGCAACTCGGCACGTCATCTACCAGGAACTTCCGCTTTCGCTCAAGCTCGAAATCGTCTCTGGGAATCGGCGGCACCGAAGGGCCGCCAGAGCCCGATGCTCCCGGAGAAGCCTTCGGGTACGTCTCAGAGGATATCCGGCCTGGAGGGGAACGAGAACGTGCCCTGTGGGGGCAGATTTGTTTTTCCTCGGGCGGCCTAGAAACCTCGATAACACTCCAAATGAGGTCCGAATGCCCAAGATGGCCCCCGAGACGGCCCAAGAGGGCCCCGAGTCGCCCAAAGATCAGCCGAAAACGCCCAAGATAGCCCCAAGACCGTCCAAGAAGCCGCCAAGACGTCCCAGGCCCCCTCCAAGAGACCCCCAGAGGCTTCCAAGCGGCCCCTCAGAGCTTCCCAAGAGGCCCACAAACTACCCCCAAGAGGCCCCCAAGAGCGCTCGTCGTCGTCGTCGTCGCCATTCAGGGTCGGCGGCACCGGCCGTAAGGCCTTCGCAATAATGTCAGTAGCAGTAGCAATAGTAGTGGTAGTAGTAGAGTAATGATAGTAGTCGTGGAAGTAGTACAAAGAGTAGTAGTAGTAGTAGTAGTAGTAGTAGTAGTACTAGTAGTAGTAGTAGTAGTAGTAGTAGTAGTAGTAGTAGTAGTAGTAGTAGTAGTAGTAGTAGTAGTAGGTAGTAGGTAGTAGGTAGTAGGTAGTAGGTAGTAGGTAGTAGGTAGTAGGTAGTAGGTAGTAGGTAGTAGGTAGTAGGTAGTAGGTAGTAGGTAGTAGGTAGTAGGTAGTAGTAGTAGTAGTAGTAGTAGTAGTAATAGTAGTAGTAGTAGTAGTAGTAGGTAGTAGTAGTAGGTAGTAGTAGGTAGTAGTAGTAGTAGTAGTAGTAGTAGTAGTAGTAGTAGTAGTAGTAGTAGTAGTAGTAGTAGTAGTAGTAGTAGTAGTAGTAGTAGTAGTAGTAGTAATAGGTAGTAGTAGTAGTAGTAGTAGTAGTAGTAGTAGTAGTAGTAGGTAGTAGTAGTAGTAGTAGTAGTAGTAGTAGTAGCAGCAGTAGCAGTAGTAGTAGTAGTAGTAGTAGTAGTGGTCGTAGTAGTAGTAGTAGCAGCAACAATAGTAGCAGCAGTAGAGGTCGTAATAGTAGTGGTAATAGTAGTAGTAGTAGTAGTAGTAGTAGTAGTAGTAGTAGTAGTGGTAGTGTAGTAGTAGTAGCAGCAGTAATAGTACTGGTCGTCGTCGTCGTAACACTAGTAATATTAAGACTAGAAATAATAGTACTAGCGGTAGTCGTAGTTATAGTCGTAGTAGGAGCAGTCGTAGCAGTAGTAGGAGGAGTCATAACAGTAGTAGTAGTAGTCGTAGTCGTAGTCGTAGTCGTAGTAGTCGTAGTACTAAGACTAGTAGTACTAGTAGCGGTAGTAGCAGTAGTAATGGAGAATATGGTACAGCCCTGCCACACGTGGGATGATGACGTTGCTAGTCAACATAAGAAGGTAGCAACTTCGATCAGCAACTTTCCCCCGCGATGATAAAGTTCGGCCTTGCCGCCCCTCTTCCCCAACCAAATCAGTATTGGCTGGGGAAGATACACACTGTCAAGCCTAAAAGGGGGGGTATACCTTATTATCCAGAGGCCCTGGTTACCATCACATCTCGGAGGTAAATGTCGATATTGATCAGATCCGGCACAACAATTCTCATACTCACATCTCGCAGTAGCTTTGCCTAGCGAGAGGAGTAATAGGATATACCTTGAGCAGCGACTCTGCTCAAATCCCACGAAAACAAAAGTGACGTAGCGTGCGAGTCGCCAGGACACCTCACCACGCCCAAATAGACGACCCCTATCCTACACTTGGACTGCACATGGTCCGGGCACGGCTCTACGTGGACAACCTGCTACCTCTGTAAGCTCACTTCGGGCAGCCCTTCTTCTCGTTGGTGCAGCACCAGTCTTTCTTGTCGTCGCTCCATCCAGCCTCCCAGTTGGAATAACCTGCGTCACAATCGTAAGGCTTGGATGCGGCCTCGCCGCAACCCATCTGCTTCTCCGAACAACACCACTCCTTCTTGTCCGCCGACCAGCCAGCTTCCCAATTCGAGTACCCGGCGTTGCAATCATACGGCTCAGAGGGCGGGGCCGGCGGCGGCGTCGTCTCCGGGCATCCCTTCTGCTCATTGTCGCAGCACCACGACTTCTTGTCTTCTGCCCAGCCCGCCTGCCAGTTCGAGTACCCGGCTTCGCAGTCGAACGGCTTGGACGTCGTCTCTACGCACCCCATGTGCTTGTTGGCGCAGCACCACTCTTTCTTGTCCGCAGACCACCCCGCTTCCCAATTCGAGTACCCGGCGTTGCAATCGTACGGACAGGACGACGTCGTGGCCGGCGGAGGCGGGGCCACAGGAGCTGGCGGGGGCGGAGGCGGCGCCACAGGCGCAGGCGGTGGCGGGGGCGGCGGGGGCGGCGGGGGCGGCGCCACTGGCGCTGGCGGCGGGGGCGGCGGGGGCGGCGGCGGCGGCGGGGGCGGCGGCGTCGTAGGGCACCCCCTGCCAGCCTGCAAGCAGCACGTGACCTTCTTGGACACCTCCCAGGACTGCGGATCGCCCTCCGCGCAGTCGACCTTTTTCTCCGTGGTCGTCACCGGCTCCGGCGGGGGCGGCGGGGGCGGGGGGGGCGGCGGGGGCGGAGGCGGAGGCGGCGGGGGCGGGGGCGGAGGCGGAGCCTCCGTGGTGGTCTTCTTGGTCGTCGGAGCGTCAGGCGGAGGCGTTGGCGGCGCCGCCAGCATTGGCGGGGGTGGAGTAGTGGTGAGAATCGTGGTCGTCGTCGTGCTGGTTGAGCCCATCAGGAACCAGCCGAGCAGCGGGAGCAACAGCAGCGACAGTAGCAAGGGGATCAGGCAGAGGCAACAGCAGTTGGGGCCACGCGGACGCAGGGGCAATATACTCGAGATGACTGTCTCCGAGACTGCCTGCGGGCCGCCCGCCCCCATGCCAACGTACTTGTACGTCGTCTCCTGCACGTAGTCACCACCAGGCCCCACGTAGGTCTGAGTTTGTGGCGGCATGCCACCCGCGAGGCCGAAGCCGGAGGCGCCGCCGTAGCCGTAGCCCGCCGAGCCGCCGCAGCAACCCGCGTCGGCGCCGTACGCACCACCGTAACCCGCGCCGCCACCGCCACAGCAGCCCGCGTCGCCGCCGTATGCGCCGCCGTAACCCATACCCACGCCGCCGCTACCAAAGCCGCCGCCGCCGTGTATCATCCCTTTGCGAAAAAAAAGTGTGGACCCGGAGTCAAATCAGATTGGGTGATCCAGCCAGATCGGTTTGAGCCAGAACGGCTACGTGGTTGTCTTGGGCCACCTTGGGGGCTCTCGGGAGCCTCTAGGATTCATCCTATGCCAGTGCTGTCGCCGACCGGGGACTGGAGAGGTCCGCCCACCTTGTTAGGGGACGACCACCGTGTCACAGGAATGTTTCTCCAGGGTCAAGACGGAGAGGGCCGCGAAGCGTTCAAGCATCCATGTTTGCCCAAGATGGGTACAAGATGGCCTCAGATAGCCCAAGGCGGCCTCAAAATTGGCACAGCATCACGAGATAGCATACCGCATGCCTCCAAGAAACCCCAAGACAGCCTCAAGACGGCTTCAAGAGGCCAAGGAGCCTCACACAAGGATACCCCCAAGAGGCCAACATCTTCTAAACAAAAAAGCGCTAGTTTACCATGTTTGTTGCCTTCTCGCCATTTCGCTTCAAATGGGCCTCCGAGGCAGGGACCCAGAAGGGCTCCAGGACGGCCCCACAAGCCTCCAAGAGCGCCCCCAGAGCCTCCAACGAGGGTCCCAAAAGACTATGTATCAGACTCCGAGGGAGGGGGGGGGGGAGGGGAATTTAGGACCTCCCCTTCCGTTGAGCGATGTACTCCAAGATAGGCCCACGAGGACCCGAAAGGCCCGCAAAAGGGCGTCAAGAGGGCCCAAGAGGGCTCCAAGAGGGCCCTGAGGGCCTCCAAGGTAGCCCCGAGAGAGCACCAAGATGGCGCAAACAGGCTTCCAAAAAGCTCCCATATCGAAAGATACGCGAAGGTAGATCTGGTTGACTTCTAGGTCTGCTCAGGCTGATCACGAGCTTCAAATTTACATCTAACCCCTGGGCAATTCGCCTGGACATCGTGTCTGAATGGGCTGGTGAGCGAAACGTCCACCATTCACCCCATGGAAAAAGGATTTCGCATTCTGAAACTGATGTTGAAGCATATGGGAAAGCTGCGCGGCCGCATTGCTATCTTGATTTGACGTGAGCAAGAACACTCGAAGCTGTGTTCTCGACATCCCCCAGTTGATCAAAAAAATCCATTGACTGAAGAATGATACGTTTGCCGGATGCTTCGAGGCTGACAACACAACAGCTACGGCTCTTCTGCCCCCGGAGGGAGAATCGCAGCGCCAGCACACGCTTGGCATGCACACTCTTACAGTCCGCCGCCTCGCCCTGGAGGCACCGGCTGTGGCGCCCTCGGGTCACTGGTCCGAGCCCCTGGAGCCCCGCTCCTCGATCCTGAGGACTCCCGGAGGTTCCGGACCCGAGATTGCCGGTATTCCAGGGCTTGACGTGGCTTCCCGCGTGACTTTTCCGGAGCAAAGAAGCCCAAGAAGGCTCGATGCTCGAAGTCGGGCCGAGAGGGCCACAAGAGTCCTCTCAAGACGTTCCAAGAGGAGGAGAATCGCCGAACCATGGGTCCAAGACGCCCAGAATGCCCCTATGACAACCCAAGAAGCCTTCGAGACGCTCCAAGAGAGCCCCAACAACCTTCCCAAGATGGCCCCGAGAGGCCAAAATCATGTATTTCCCGTGGGCGTCTCAATGTTTTGGGACTTTTCGCCTTTCCGAGCATCCGACGCTCCACGACGGCCCAAGAGACCCCCGAGACCAAGAGAGCCCCCAGGCGGCCAAAGAGAGCTCCAAGACAGCCCCAGAGGCTCCCCAAGAGAGCCCAAGAGACCCCAAAGATAGCCCCAAGAAGGGCACACGAACCGAAAATTCGAGTCTTCTGCCCCAAGGGGCCACGAGGAGGCCCCAAGGAGGCCCCAAGAGGCCCTCAAGAGGCCCCAAGAGACACTCAAGAGGTCGAGACGCCGCAAGAGGCTCCAAAATGGCACCACAGAGGCTTCAAAACGGCCCGGCCCCCAACATGCCCCCGAGAGGCCTCCCGCGACATCCCACGGGACATCCTAGAGGCCTATGACCCACAACCGAGGTACGGTGGCGTGACAGGCCGAAGGCCATTAGATCCGCCGCCCCCTGCTTGCAGGGGTGCACGGCGTGCTGGACGTTTCAGGTTTTGGTTTTGGTTCTTTTTCCAAAAGAACTTCCCAGTGGGCTCCGGCAGAACCCGCCGGCCACCCGGAATTTCCCCAAACGTGCTCAACGACCGCAAAAAATCCTCCAAAAAACGGCCGTTTCGCTCGGGACATCCTCAACAAATCGCGAAGATGGCCCAAGATGGCCTCCAAGTCCGCCCGAGATGGTCCAAGACGGCCTCCAAAACGGCCCAAGAGAGTCCAAGACGGCCCAAGACGGCCCAAGAGGCCCCCCAGAGGCCTCCCAGACGGCCCAAGAGGCCTCCAAGAGGTCCTCCAGGAGAGTCCGAAGAGGCCAAAATCATTGATTTTCCATTGGTTTTTGAAGGATTTTGGCATTTGCGCCTTTTCGGCTCTCCGACGGCTCAAGACGGCCCAAGAAGCCCCCAAGATCGCCCAAGAGGCCCCCAAGAGAGCCCCATGATGGCCCAAGTGGCCTCCAAGATGGCCCCTAGAGGGCCCCAAGAGGGCCCAAGAGGCCTCCAACACGCCCAAGATGGCCTCCCAGACGCCCAAGATGGCCTCCAAGACGGCCCTGGAGCATTCCAAGCGGGCCCCAAGTCGGCCCATAGAGGCCCCCCAAACGGCTTCCGACGGCTTCAGACGTGCCAGGAACCCACCAAGATGGCCGAAGTTGGCTCGAAGCTGGCCCGAGACGGCCCAAAAAGCCCCAAAGATCGCCCAAAGCTTGCCCAAGAGGCCTCCAAGACGGCCAAGATGACCTTCAAGATGCCCACGTGTTCCCCGAAGGCTTTCCAAACCGATTCGGGGAACACGTGGTCCGATAGCTTGGCAGGTCTGGCCTCAACGTTCGGCCACATAGGCGCTTCCAAAAAGGCAGGGGGCGGCGGTGATTCGCCGTAGGCGTCTTCGATAACCTCGATAGATCCGCCGGCCCCTGGTGATTCATCACAAGGGTGCACGGCGTGCCGAACGTTTGGCAGGTGTTTGGTTCTTTTCTAAAGAACTCTTCGTGGGGGGGGGTCTTGGCCCAGCCCGCCAGCAACCCGAAGGCCAGGAAAACGTACAGTCCGTCGGTTTTCACCTCCAACATGGCCCCACGGCCTCCAAGACGGCTGAGATGGCCTCTAAGACGGCCAAGATGTCCCAAAGAAACCCAAGATCGAGGCCAAATGTATCCAAGACGGCCCAAGATGCACTCAAGACGGCCTGAGATGGCCTCCAGACGGCCCAAGAAGTCCCCAAGAAGCTTCCAAAATGGCCCAAGCGGCCGCGGCTTCTGTTGGGCCTTCAGACGGTCCAAGACGACCCAAGAGGCCCCCAAGATCGCCCCAAGAGCGTCCCAAAGACCTCGAAGATGGCCGCCAGAAGGCCCAAGATGCTCCCACGACGGCACCCAAAGGGCCTCAAGACGGCCCAAGAGGTTTCCAAGACGGTCAAGATGGCCTCCAAGACGGCTCTGAAGGCGCCCCAAGAAGGCCCCCAGTCGGTTTGGAGAGGCCCCCGAGACGGTTTCCGACAGCGTCCAATGGGCTAGGAACGCCCTAAGACGGCCAAAGAGGACCCCAAGAAGCCCCCGAAGACCCCCAAGAGGCCCAAGCAGGCCCCCAAGAGGCCTCCAAGAAGCCCCCAGAAAGCTCCCAGGAGGTTCCAAGAGTGCCCCAAGAGGCTCCCAAGAGGACTCGTCATTTTCCTCCTCCGCCTCCTTTTCCGTTTTTTCTCACTCTCCTCCTGTTCGTTCTCCCCCATGTGTTCCCCTAAGGCTTTCCAGAACGGCTGGGGGAGCACATGGTCCGATAATTTGGCCGAGCTCTGGCCACAACGTTCGGCCACATAGGCGGTTCCAAAGAAGCACGGGGCGGCGGTGGTTCGCCGTAGACGTCGTCGATAACCTCGAATGGCTCGATCACCTCGTAGGGCTTATTCTACTTACTTTCTTCTGTTTGGTATTGTCCAGTATCATGAGGGCTGTCGCTTCCGCTCCACCTGCCCTGAAGGGGTCCCTGTCTCGAAGCCTGGGCTCAACCTGCGATGTGGCATCGCACTTTCCCCGTGGCCTCGATTAACCTATCAGCCGCCTCGGCCGTGCATCAATGTCGCTCAGTGGCCAGAGTTTCGGCTCCTACCGCATCCTCACGAGGGCTCATCCTCGCGAAGCTAAGCGTGTTGCGCTTCCGTTGTCTGCTTCAGAGAGGGCTGGTGATAGAATGAAGAACAACTGCACAAACATCAACGTTCGCAGGTCCCCGCGGATTTTCTCGGATCGGCGCTCGGCGCTGGACGCCCCTTCCCTCCTTGAACGCCGCGTGGTTCCACATTCCCACCAGCCCTCTGGGCCTAGGTGGTTCAGCGTGTGTCCTCTTCTCACCCCCCTTTTTGCCACCCTCGTGGGGCCCCCTGCGGCCGTCTGGAAGCCAGTGGAGCGCGAGCGAGCGTCCACATGCTCCCCCCGCCCATGTCGGCGCACCCCTCACGCGCCCCGTGGCCCCACAAGGAGCTTCCCCCCCTTCGTCCCACTTGCCTCGAGGGGTACTGACGCTTGCATGTGCTTGGGCCCTTCGCCAGGATATGTTCTGCCCCATTTTCAAGACTTCGGCGGATTTGGGGGGCTCTTGGGCCCTCGTGGGCCTGCCTTAGGGCCCTCTTGAGGGCCTGGCCGTATCGGGCCCGTCCCGGGGCTCTGGTTGGGCGACCCCGGGGCCACCCTGGCGGCCTCAGGAGCCCACCCATAAGGCTGGTGCTGTTTGAACGGGCTGGGCCCCTCGGGAGCTCAGGGAGTCTCGGGGGAGTCTCGAGGCCGCCTGGGGCCGACCTGGAGGCTGGCTCGGCTTGCCTGATCAGGTCTTGCCTCGTCCTGCCTTGGCTCGTCTTGTTTCGTCTGGTCTGGTCTGGTCTGGCTGTCCTGGGCCAGATTTCCTCATCACCCTGCCACCCCCCCCCATCCCCACCCATCCACTCTACCCCATCCCACCCCGCGACGACCATCACATATCGGAAGTCAATGTCAGTATTTATCAGATGCGGCACAACAGTTCTCATGCTCACATCTCGCAGTAACTCTGCCTGTCGAGAGGAGCACTGTCT